TCCAAAGAGGTCAAGGCTGAAGCCTCTTTCCACAGCAGGGAGTCTGGAAACTGAGCGAGTTTGCTTCTGGGAACTGAGAAATGCCAGCCCCCAACGTTGAAATGAAACAAATCCTCTGATTCATGAGGCATGCCAGGCTCCTCCTAAAAGGGGAATGAAAACAGAGCTATGCGAGAAAAAGAAATAAAAAGCATCCATCTTGGAAAGGAAGAAGTAAGATTACCTCTATTTGCAGATGATGTGATCTTGCATATAGAAAATCCCAAGGAATTCACTAGGAAATTATTAGAAATGAGTTTAGTAAGGGTGAAAGATATATATCAATTGTATTTTTATTTTTAAATTTTATTTATGTATTTATTTGAGAAGGAGAGAGAGAGAGAGAGTACACAAGAGTGGGGGGGCGGTGGACAGAGGGAGAGAGAGAATCTCAAGCAAGCTCCACACGCAGCACAGAGCCTGTTGAGGGGCTTGATGTCTCAACCCTGAGATCATGAACTGAGCTAAAATCAAGAGTCAGATGCTTAACTGACTGGGCCACCCAGGTGCCTTGGATGTTAATATAAGTTGTCAATTTTTTTAAAAAGATTTTATTTATTTATTTGCAAGTGAGAGAGAACACAGAGCATAAGTGGGGGGAGGGGCAGAGGGAGAGGGTGAAGCAGACCCTCCGCTGAGCAGGTAGCCTGATGAGGGGTTGGATGTTAATACACAAGCAATGAACAATCCAAAAATGAGATTCAGAAAACAATTCTATTCCAATAGTATCAAAAAGAACAAAATATTTAGGAATAAATTTAACAAAAGAAAGGTAATACTTGTACTCTGAAAAGTTCAAAACATAGTTGAAAGAAATTTTAAAGCCCTAAGTAAATGGAAAAACATCTCATGTTTACCAATCAGAAGACTTAATACTGTTAAGACTGCAATACTCTCCAGATCTACAGATTGAACACAGTCCCTATGAAAATTCCAGCTGCCTTTTTTTTTTTTTTGCAAAAATTGACAAGCTGGGGGTGCCTGGGTGGCTCAGTCAGTTAGCATCTGTCTTCAGCTCGGGTCATGATCCCAGGGTCCTGGAATCAAGCCCCTCATCGGGCTACCTGCTCAGCGGAGGGTCTGCTTCACCCTCTCCCTCTGCCCCTCCCCACTACTCGTGCTCTGTGTTCTCTCTCACTCACAAATAAATAAATAAAATCTTTAAAAAAAACCGACAAACTGACGTTAAAATTCATATGGAAATAAAAGGGAATAGTAAAAACAAACAAAAAAACACTCCAACTCTTGAAAAAGGAGAAAAAAAATTTTTAAAAGATTAATTAATTAATTTGGGAGAGAGAGTGAGGGGAGGGGCAGAGGGAGAGAATCTCAAGCAGACTCCCTGCTGAGCTCAGAGCCCAAGGTGGGGCTTGATCCCATGACCCATGAGATCATAACCTGAGCTGAAATCAAGAGTCAGATACTTAACTGACTGAGTCACCCAGGCACCCCAAGGAGAACAAAGCACACTTCCCACTTTCAAAACTTACTAAAAAGCTATAGTAATCAAGATAGTGTGCTACCGTATAAGGAAAACATATGGATAAGTGGAATACCATTGAGAGTCCAGAAATAAACCTTGACATTTATGGTTGATTGAATTTGACAAGAGAGCCAAGGCAATCCAATGGGTAAAGAATAGCCTTTTCAAAAAATGGTGCTAGGACACCTGGACATCCAAATGCAAAAAAAAAAAAAAAAAAGACCCCTACCTCACACCATACATAGAAATTAACACCAAATGGACCAAACCTAAAAATAAGAGCTAAAACTATAAAACCCTTAGAAGAAAACAGAAAATCCTCATGATCTTGGATTAGGTAATGCCTTCTTAGATGAGATACAAAAAGCACAAGTGAAACAAATAAATAAAACTTCATCAAAATTGAAAACTTTTGTGCTCCAAAGGACACCATCAAGAAAGTAAAAAGACAACCCATATAATGGAACAAAATATTTGCAGATCACATATCTGATAAAGAACTTGTATTTAGACTACATAAATAACTCTTACAACTCAATAATAAAAATAATAAAAAGATGAACAATCAAATTTAAAAGGCAGTAAAAAATCTAAAAACACATTTCTCTATGCTAAATGAAAGAAGCCAGACACAAAAGCCACATATTACATGATTCCATCTATGTGTAATGTGCAGAATAGGCAAATTTATAGAGTAGATTAGTGGTGGCTTAGGGCTAGAGAGGTTGTGGGGGAAATGCACAGTGACTAGTAACAGGTATGGAATTTCTTTTTTTTCAAATAATGAAAATGTTATAAAATTGTGGTACTAGTTGCACACTGTGAATATACTAAAAACCACTGAACTGTAAACTTTAAATGGTAAATTGTAGTATGGGAATTATTTTTTAATAAAGCCATTTAAAAAAATAAAAAAAAAAACATTTAAGACAGAGAGTTATGAGGTCCTGCGTTGGGCTCTGCACTCAGCATGGAGTCCGCTTGGGATTCTTTCCTTCTTCCTCTCCCTCCTCCTCTGCCATCCCCCTGCTCTTTCTCTCTCTTAAATAAATAAATAAAATCTTTAATTTTTTAAAAAAAAAGGAGAGAGAGTTAGGAGGAGGCGCTCCCTACCCCTCTGAGTGCTCTGAGTGCATGCAGAGCTCTCTTGGGATCATACCTGCAGAGACATTACATTATTGAGACCATAGCAGAATAGCTGAATGTTGTGGTTTCCTTTTTGTGTATACAAAGGCAGCAAAGATCATTAAGCTTCCTCAGCTCATTGTTAAAAGTTCAAGGTTATCTATTCATATAAGTGAACTATTTTGCTTCAAGATGACCTAGCTTATCAACACTATAGAAAAGTAGAACATATGAACATACAAACCATCTGTATCAGATTTTAAAATAAACACTCAAGGACTACTCCTGTAAACAAAATTTAAAAGGTGGTAAATAGTATATAAAATTCTACCTTAAAAAGAACCATAAAAGAATTCTAAATAAAAATTATGCATGGTGAAGCAATTGGGGTGCAATGTAATATTTATAACATTTTGAAATGCATCAAAAAACCAGTATGGATTGGTAAAGGGATGGATAGATGGACATATGATAAAAACAAATACAGCAAGATGTTCACTGTAGAATCCAGGCAGTGGGTATATAGTTCGTTCAACCTTTCTGAATCTTCCAAAATTTGCATTAAAATGTTGGTGGGTGGGCAGAGTGTTAAATAAGAGGTGGTTGCTCAAGGGAGGAAAGGCTCACTTCTCCAACAAAACCTGCATCTTCTATTTTGACAGCTGAGGAAGGAAAATAAATGCATGCAACAAAGAAGTGGGTGGAGTTCCTTTCTCTTATAATAACTGGTCTAAATAATTCAGATGTAAAGAAGAGCAATTATATATGCCACATTTGAGGCTAGAAGAGTTAAAGGGGCCATGAGAAAGATAACAAATTTTTTAAATGGTGTCATGATTCACAGAAGCTGAGTAAGAAAAGCCAATCTAAGGAACTAATCTAGGCTTTTGAGTCCCGGCCCTTTTAAAAATGGCTACAGCTGAGCATGACAAACTGAATGGTAAATAAGGACCCCACCCAAACCAGAAAGCATAAATAAGCAAGAACTCTTGATTCTGCTTTCTGTTCTTCTTAAATATGACTAGCTGGTTGATAGCTCAGTGTAACTGCTCCTACTATGCAGATTTTTGGCTACCAAAGAAGACCCACTCCTGGAAGGTGAGCCACAGTTCTGTTCTCAGTCCTCTTTTCTTATTAAGGATAGGCTTTGACAAGAGAGTCTTTGCTCAAGAGTTTGCTTCCTTACACATACATGTCCCATCCACAGGTGGGCTCTCAAGAGATGCCTGCTGGAGTGAGGGTAGGGGTTAAGGATGTGGCTGTTCTTTCTAGAGTTTTCTTTCCAAAGACTGCACAAGAGTTTGTTAGAACTATCCCAGCCTGGGGAGAGCCCTCGGTCAGAGGCAAGCTTGAGGATCTGTAGTTCTTGCAGGGCAAAATGCTTCTTGCCAGACTGCCTATAGGAAATGGGGTAGCCCTCGCATAATCTTCTCCAGCCCATTCCAAAGAGTATCTCTCTTTTCCGCACTGATCCTCCCTCCCAAAGGAGCACCTTCCAAATAAATTTCCAGAGCTATAACCACCTCATGATCTAAAGACAGGACTTCAACTCCTCAGAGCCAAGTTCACCAACAGTTCAAATCTGGGGCTCCCTCCCTATCATGCCTCAGAGAGCTGCCCCCGCCCCCATCCCCTACTCTCATTCGGATCTGGACACCTCCCTCACCCCATTTACCTGCCGGCCACTGCCTGGTCTCAGAGTAAACAGCTCCAAATGCTGAGACAAGAGCTTCACCTTGTCAAGAGGCACAACTCCACCTCTCAGACCTGAAGCCCCCCAAAACCTCAGACCTAGAACACTTCATCCCTCAAAACAGGCGCATTCTTGGGCGCCTGGGTGGCTCAGTTGGTTAAGCGACTGCCTTCGGCTCAGGTCATGATCCTGGAGTCCTGGGATCGAGTCCCACATCAGGCTCCCTGCTCAGCAGGGACTCTGCTTCTCCCTCTGACCCTCTTCCCTCTCGTGCTCTCTATCTCTCATTCGCTCTCTCTCAAATAAGTAAATAAAATCTTTAAAAAAAACAGGCGCATTCTTCCAATCCCTCAGAGCCAGTCCCCAAACCCTTCAAAGCTGGGACCATATCCCACCCCATGTCCCAGAGCCAGGTCCCTAACCCCATAGCCCTAATCCTCGGCCACATCACCTCCCCATTCGCCGCTTTGGTGTTTTTGGTGCCCCCGCCAGGGCAGGATCCATACCATAGTCGGGACGCCTGAGGCCGGCGGGCGCGTGATCACAGCACTAACGGCCCAGGGAGATCGGCGGCACGCGCGGGGGGCGGCGCCTGCGGCGGGGGCGGGGCCTGGCGTGCGCTAGCCTGTCTCGTGGACCGAGGCAGGTGAGGGGCGGGCGGGGATGGCGGAGCAGTGGGATCTGGACGAGGAAGGCGTCCGCCGCCTGGGGGCGCTGACTCTGGAGCAGCCCGGTAGGGCCAGGCCGGGAGGACCTGGGCAGGGAGCGTGGGGTCTGAGGCTGAGGGGAGAAAACTGAGGTAGAGTTGGGGGAACCTTGAGGTAGACGCGGCGGAATGGCGGCGGAGGAGCGGTCCCAGAGACGGAGAAGGGGTTACTGAGGCAGAAGAGTCACACTGAGGTGGAGGTGAAGGACGTGAAGTAGCCTGAGAGTCTGGGGAGAAGGGCGAGGAATTGAGGGAGACGAACGGAGTCTGAAGTGGAGGAGAAAGTGGATTAACGGGATACTGCGGCCGGAAACAGAACTGGACAGAGTCTGAGCTAGTGGAAGGAAACGGAGCCCCAAGAGGGGCATTGGCGGGAGAAGGGACGTGCTGAGAAGCGCCTTTGAGGTGGCGGTGCTCTTGAGGAAGGCACGAAGGGCGTTCGTTTGGCATTTTCTGAAATTTCAGACCCAGGAGGGCTTTTCCTGTTTGGGATAAAATGGGAAAGGATGTTCCCTTATCAGTCCCTCTCTTCGTCTAGTCTCCGCCTCAAGAACTTGGCCATTTCTTTGATCCGTCCGGATGTGTGGCCTCCTTTTAAGAGACACTCAGAAAGGGGCCTCAATTGTGAAAGCGATAGCAAGCTGGTCTCTCAAGGCGCTGGAGAGAACTGGCTGAGCCACTGCTGACCCCACCTTTGACCTGGGCTCTGATTCACGGAGCTTGTTTGAGTTTCTAAGGAGTAGGAATGTTGGAAAAGTTTTATCAGCATTCCTAACTCAACTTTTACCCTTATTAAATTTACTCTATCCTTAATGCCAGGCCCCGTGTTAAATGCTTCCCCCCCACCCCGCAATATTTAATCCCCATAACAGGCCTGTAAAGCAGATGCTGTTATTGTGCCTGGTGTACAGATGGGTTAAAATTAGGTTTAGCCTCCTGCCCAAAGGGACACAGCCAGGGTTTACTAACCCAGGACTCGAGTTCAGAGCCTGTGCTTTAACCTTTACAAAAAGTTGCCTTTCTTGCTTCCTCTAGTACGATTTATTTGTGGGATATGAAATAATTGGTCTTATTTTGTTTAAAAATTTACTATTTAAAATTTATAAAAACTAGTGCATGCTAGTACAAACATTACATGAATGAAGAGGTTATTAATCTTTCCTTCCTCTGGAAATCTCTCCACCCCCAACCAAAGGTAATGTGGTGTGGTGTGTATATGAATAGACTGCAGATATTTCAGGTTTATTTTTTCTTTTTCAAACTTCTTTGAGCTCTCCTGTTTTACAAGTTAGCTAAGAAAAGCTTTATTGGTTTGACACACTTCTGTACTTTTTTTGCCTTTAAAAAAATGTTGATTTAGTTTTATTTGGTTGGGGGTAGAGCATATACTCCTTACGTTCTCCAGCTATAATGGCACATGGCAGATTTTTTTGCTTGTTTTTGTTTGCTTGTTTTATTACAGTTGTCTGAATAACAAAATTGTGCTCATTCTGACAATTCAAACAATGCAAAACTAAAGTAAAAGAATATTCTTCCCTCTCCCTCTTTCCATACCTTTTTCATTACTTATACAAACATATACCCATAGGTGTTTTTTTAAATATAAGAGCATATTTATTATTTGGCAATTTGCTTTTTTATCAATAAAACATACTTTAATGTGCTGTTATATGCATTATAAAATTAAAAACTCACAGTGGTCATCTTTGGGGAGAAAAGCTTTTACTTTTATTCTGTACTTTACTGTTGGAATTTTCTGGCTATGTAATAAGTTATTTTCTTTTTAATGTCCAAAGGGATGATCTTGTGGTGCAGTTATAGACTGTTTTGTATGTTTGTTTTTTTGTTATATTTCCCTGTACTGAAAAATTTCCATAAATGTTTAAATTATCCTTTGTCATGCAGAAAATTTTCATCTTAAGATAGTCAAGTTTATTTTTCCTTCTGATTTGTGATTTTTTGGTCTTATTTTTGAAGTTTTTCCCTACACTGCTGAATAACATTTTTTTCTAAAAATTCTGCTGCTTTGCTCTTCACCTTAAGTCTGATCTACCTGGAATTTATTTTTATATACAATGTGATTTGGTATAATTGTATTTTTTTATACTGATCGCCAGTTTCCTCAGAACCCATTTATAGTATCTCTGCTATATTCCAAGTTCCTTTGTAAATTTGTAGGCTCTCTGTTCTGTTTGTCTATTCCTACACCAGTATCACGCTTTTGTATCTACTGTGGCTTAACAGTAGGTTTCGATAACTGGTAAAGTCAGTGCCCTCCTTCACTTCCCTCTTTTTCCTTCAAAGTTGTCTAGGCTATTCTTAGCCCTTTATTCTCTTTTAGAATCTTAGAATCAGCTTGTCAGTTTTCATGGAAGCATTTTAAGCAGGGATGTGTCCTGATCTAATACTTATTTTTAAAATATGACTCTCACCCATTAGAAGCCTGTTACAGTAGTCCAGATAAGAGATAATGAATGGCTTGGACTAGGAGGATGACAGTGGAGATAAAAAGAAGTGGACAGAGTCAAGGTGTATTTTGTGGGTAGATAGGACAAGACTTACAAAAAAAAATTGAATATGGGAGTTGGGGAAAGGGAAGATTCAAAGATATCACTTAAACTTGGTTTAGGTTATTGCTGGGTGGACAATGGTGCTGTTTATTTAGAGAGAGCACAAAGATTATGGGAATTATTGGCTTGGGGAAGGCGAATCAAGAGTGCTGTTTTGAACATGTTAAGTTTAAAATACCTACTAGACATTCAAATGTGAAATTTTTAGTAGGCAATTGGAAATACAAGTCTGGATCTCAGAGGAGAGAGGTCAGGGTTAGAGTTGTGAATTTTGGGAGACATTAGCAAATCAGTAATACTTAGAGTGATAAGAATGGGTGAACTCACCTAACTAGAGAATGTGGATGGAGAATAGAAGAAGGTTTAAGACTCATCTTGGGATATTTCAATGTTTAGATGTTGAATAGAGAAGGAAGAACCTGGTGTCTTAGAATTTAAGAAAGGGTAGTATATCAAGGAAATAATGGTCAGCTGTGCCAAATGCTATTGACAGGCTAAGCAAGCAGAGAAATGTCTGTTAGATTTGGCAACATGGAACTCATTGGTCACTTTAGGGGAATTTCGAGAGAATGGAGGGAAGCCAGGCTGGGTTGGGATGAAAAGGGAATGATATGTGAGGGAGAAGAGCTAGTGAAGGTAAGACCTTTCCTGAGAAATGTGGCCATAAAAGAGAACACAGAAGTGGAATACTAGTTGGGGGATATGATATGAAGTTTTTAGTGGGTTTAAGATTGATTTTATTTATTTATTTATTTATTTATTTATTTATTTATTTATTTATTTAACAGGGAGAAAGAGAGCACAAGCAGGGGGAGGAGTAGAGGGAGAGGGAGAAGCAGGCTCCCCATTGAGCATGACCTGAGCTAAAGGCAGACACTTAACTGAGCCACCCAGGCGCCCCAAGAACAAGTTTTTTAAAGACACAATATACTAGAACATATTTGTATGCTGATGATAATTATTTGGTAAGGAGATAAAATATATATGTACTTCTTTGGCTTTTAAAAATAATTCAGTTAATTTATTATATGGGTAATATAATTATTGTACAGTGAAAAGTGAGTCTTGACCACCCCCCTTCCCTGGCCCTGACCCAATTCTCCTAAAGACCATCACTATTACCAATATCTTGGATAACTTTCCAGAAATATTCTCTACATATATCACTTATTTTATAATTTTTTATTAATGGCAGTATATAAACGTATACAAGAGTAGAGACAACAGAATAGTGAACTCCCATCACCCTATCTCAGCTGGTATTGTCAATTCATGGCCAATCTTCTTTCATCTGTACCTCACCTAACTTCTACCCATGCCTAACCCCCTGCACTGTTTATTTTGAAGCAAATCCCTGTCATATGATTTAACCCATATATATTTTAATGTATATATCTTCAAAAGAGAACTCTTTTAAAAATAATCACTTATAAACTTAAAAATATTTAATAGTAATTTCTTGATATCATCAAATATGCAACCAGTTTTCTCATTTCACCAACTGTCCTATAAAATTTTTCTGATTCAGGATCTATGTACGGTCTACTGTAATTGGTTGATATTTGTCTTTAAAAAAATTTTTAATTCCAATATAGTTAACATACAGTGTTACATTCATTTCAGGTGTACAATATAGGGATTCAACAATTTCATGCCTCACCCAGTGCTCATCACGACAATTGCACTCCTTAATCCCCATCACCTGTTTCATCCCTCTGGTAACCATCAGTTCTCAATAGTTAAAGAGTGTTTCTTGGCTTGTCTGTCTTTGTTTTTGTTTTTTTTTCTCTGCTCATTTGTTTCTTAAATTTCACATATGAGTGAAATCATAGGTATTTGTCTTTCTTTGACTTATTTTACTTAGCATTATACAGTTGATAATTTGTCTTAAATATTGTTTGATCCATAGGTTCCCCCTTCTTTTTTTCCTTGCATTTTCTGTTCTTAAAAAAACTAGGCCATTTGTCCTGAATAGTTTCTTACAATCTGGATTTTGCTCATTACCTTCCTAAGATGTTTAACATTTTCCCCAGTTCTTGTTCCTATGAATTGCTAGTTAAGTGAAGCTTGATTTGATTCAGGTTTGTTTGTTTTTTTGCAAAACTACTTCATAGATGAAGGTATACTGTCATGAAGTATATAATTATCTGGTGTTCTTTTTGTGACATTATCAGCTATTAAACATGACTATGTAAAGTCCACTAATTCATTAGGGATTGCAAAATGATAATTTTCTATCTTTCATTTTTATGAGTTGTAAGACTTATATAAAAAGACATTTCCTATCAACTCCTTGGTTATCTTGAGGCACAGTTTGTACAGCAAAGAGACAGGATACTTTTTTTTTTTTCAGCTTATTTATCAGTTTTTGGAAAAATGAGTTGTTTTCTTAGCATCCTCTAAAGGTAACCAATTTGAGTTGTTTTCTTAGTGTCATTATAAATTCATAGATTTAAG